AGATACAGAACAACATCCACAAATGATGTTTCATTCCTCACCTTGGCCCCTCAAAATGGACTTTAGGGTAGCCTTCAACTGTCGCAGAAACAAAAGAACATACAGATGTGACCGTTTATCCACTTACTGTGACTACCTCCTTCGGTTGGAAAGAGAGAGAGAGAAGTTATTGACTACCTGACTCCCATCAATATACGATCCTCGCGGAACAATAAGGCGGACCGCATCGGAACCAGCGAACCCTTCGCAAGGACCCGTTTTCTCGGAAAGGTTGAGCGAGGGTCGACTTGGGTCAACACCCGCTTACCTTCTAGTTTTAGGTGACTAAAAACATGCAAAAAGACTTCTAACACAAGAATTCAAAAAGCAAAGGTTCCAACGGCCTCTGGACGAAATTAGAACTAGCACCTTTTGCTGCAAGGGGCCCTAGAGGAGCCCGTGACGCAGGTGACAAACCACTACGAATTCATGTGTAACCCTTGTCTCGTAGGGAAAAGTGAAAAAATTACCCTAAAAATTCCGCAAAAGGTGAATAAAGTTTCAAAAACACGATAGGGCACTATAAAATTTTTCTTACTTTTTTAGAGATTTTCAAGATTTTGAGTATATGTAGAATGATATTTTTAGTAACTGTGTTTCATTTTCTTCCGTTGTCGGATGCTAAGAGGCTCCTCTCTGGGCATCCTCGACTTCAATGGCTTAACTCCCTTGCCATAGACGTACGGTACGAAAGGGGAGTCCAGGGGGGCCCGGCTCCCCATAGAATTGAAAATTATCATGTGCCCCCTCAAAAAAAAAAATTTATAGATGTTTTGAATGCAACAATTCGAAAGTTTTTGGTGCTGAAAGTAAACAAAAAGGCGTAATTACTCTGCAGAAATTGATGGAAAATCTCCATCATAAGAGCTTCATAATGCGTCCAAATAGATTTAAAATTTCAAAAATTTCCCAGGGGAGGCCCCCCGGACCCCCCCCCCCTGTGCTAGGGGCCCGGGCCAGAAAATTGGTACCAGGGCCCGAGATGGGATATGGCGGGCCTGGAGGTGGACTCTCAGGGTAGGGTGGGATATCCCCTCCATTTATGCCTCACTTTGAGAGCTTTTTTTGAGCTTGGGAGATGATTTTAGAGAAAACCAGTGGCACCATCGTGTTTCTCGTTAACTTTTACAGAAGAATCAATGGTCAAATTGCAAATCCCTCACACATGCAACATCTCCATTGCTACTTATTGCAATCTGTGCTATTTGGGATAGAGAAAGCTTTCACTTGAGCCCCATTTTTTTCAGGATCTGCCACTGATATCAGTTTTATTGTTATGCTTGCAGACGATCGAGCTTTCGGACAAATGGAAGAAGATATTCCAGACGATGGCAGACACAGAGGCAAAAGCTGATGTCTACGCGTTGTACAACTGCGAGGCGTTCGTGCACGCTTACGGCTTGTCGGTGATGGCCGACTTCGAAAGACGAGGCATCGGAGCCGAGATGCTGATTGCGAGGGCGGAGATCTGCAAACAGTTGGACACTCCGGTCAGCGCTACCGTCTTCACCGGGAGCGCATCGCAGAGACTCGCCGAGAGGTGCGGCTACGAGACCATCGCCGAATTGGATATCACGACTTACCGCATCGACGGACAGATCGTCTACCCCAAACCCAAATGGCCGGTCATCAAGTGGATGGCAAAACGCTATTTTTAAGCATGGAAAGTAACCCACCTCGCACTGTTAAGAAAAAGATCATTCATTACATGGGAATGTAGAAAAGGAATGTAAAATGAGGGGTTTGGAGGACAAGGCGGATAAGTGCAGTTTTTGAAAAAATTGAGATATTATTGATTTCAAGTAAAACTAGTAGTCTTAATGCATATTCTGTGAAAAATTTGCTGCTCAACTCTCGAATGTTCATACGGCGCGGCGTTCCTCCTTAGCACGGTAGTGTAACATTCGTGCGTAATTTTGCAGCTGTTGACTCCAACGAGAGAAATCTTTCGTGGAGCACAAATACAAGACACTATCATTTAAAATCACATAAATCACGGAAAGATATGCATCACTTCCTTTCAATATAAAACATTCATCGGAGGAAATTTGGCAACTCTTGAATGTTCATACAACGTTTTTTCTTAGCACAGCAGCTCACAGGCCCAAGTTAAGGTTAAAACGTCAATGGGTGGCTCATATTGAAAATCTCTCAAGAGGCTCAAAAGTAATACAGTGTCACATTCGTTTAAAAGCTCTTGACTAGATTATGTCTGATTATACATAAACACTTTTCGGACGGGTAAGATAAGATTTTCCGAGCCGGCCTTGATTGACTCTTGACAAATTCTAGCTAGAGAACTCACATTTCAACGAAAGAGCCACCATCACCCATGCAGTTAAGCTCGTTCTCACTCAGCCGAGAGACTCTAAGTACTTGCAGGATTTGTTATTTCATCCACGGTCCTTATCGAGGAGGAATTCCTATTCTGATAATTCTTTCGAGGTAAATTCATTCTTTCCACATCTATCGCATCGATAGAAGCAAACTAATTTAATAGGTATAATTTGACATTGTTGCAAATAGCAAGGTATAAATTACATATGAAAATGAATAAAATAATATATGATAATCTATGATGTTTAATTAACTTTTTTCAATATATTTAATATGCAAGTAAGGTTAAGCCAATTTTATTTATTTTCATAATTTAGTAGGTATCTTCTTTCAAAATTATGTTTTTGATTTCATGTAACAACTCTGAATCGTTTAAGCTATTTCAACAGGCGGCGAGTAAACTGCAGGGTGTCGAATGGCAGAGTTGTATAAAGAAATGAGAACAAGATAATTGTAATAACTGTCATAGGACTGCTTCTCTTGGGTCAGTCAAATTTTTTCATACAGTGTCCTCCTGAAGTTATGGCATACCATAAATTTTATTCACAGTTTAGGGGGAAAGACGCACAAAAACATTTAAATTTGTAGGTATTTGCACATGTACATGCATAATTTTTCTTAGAGGCACGAAAAGCGGGTCCCATATCTAATTTCGTTTAAAATACGCACGAACACGTGTTTTAAAAGAGATTCTCTAATACAAGCAAATGCAATAAGTTTTTCAATATTCTTTTGATTATTCAAGCTGCTAAAAATATTTGGTCAATTTTGCATGGTTCAATTGGTGCAACGTGCGTGTGAAAAAGATATGATTCAAAAGAACCCAGCTTAGTGCTGTGACAGAGCTGCTGTGCAGCGTGTCTGCCACTGAAGTTGCCGTGCACTGAAATTGAAGGGGATTTCAACGCGGCGCCGTTACACTGCTGTGGTTGCAGGTTGCGGCATGCGGTACTTCGTTCTCATTCTGCGTGTGTGACACAGACTAGATGAAGATAGAAGGGGCCAGTATAAGCGGTATAATTCGTTGGATGACGCAGTTCATAGTGATTTTGAAAGATCATCGTCATAATTGGATTGCATTTTGCATAAAAGAACCAGGAGCATTCCAATGTCGCTAAGATGGTGCAACTTTTTTTACCTCGCAAATATAAACTAATCATCTAAACAAGATTCACCTTTACTCTCAATAAACTATAAATTCATGACGAAAATTACCTTCGTATATTTAATTTTTTGCATGATTCCAGTAATTGTATTGTAAAGAATGTAAGTTGCACAATCCTAGCAACATTGGAATGCTCTTGGTTCCTTTTTGCAAAATGTAATCCAATTAAGGAAGCTTCCTAAAAGGAGAGAAATTCTGATATATTGACAAAGAATATTAGACTGTGTCATAGAAATGGGAAATTCTTGGTTTAGTGCTGTGTAATGCCCATGTTTTTGAACCTAGTGCCTACCAAAAATATATATATAAAAAAAACCAGATCCGTCCTTGTTTTGACCAGAGACTAATAATTGAGATACCCCCTTGTGTTCCAAGAAAGGACATTTTACGGAATTATGGCGCACTGAGCTAACAGTACCAGGCAATGGTAAAAATAGGCACTACAAAGTGCATAAGCAGCTTTTTTTGACCAACTTTGTCGAAGTAAACACGATATCTACACTATTAAGGGTCGGTAAAATCACCAGGAATTCCCAATGATCGGTAAAGGGTCAGTTGCGCTCGCCACAAAATCATATTTTGATGCTCGATTCTTGTAGATCAGCTTAAAATAATATGATCTGCCCAAACAGCAACTTTCTGAGTTCAATATTAACCGAGGTATTGCGCTTTGAAAAGTTCGGTTTATGACGTCATCCGCCGTGGTAGTGACTTCCTTGATTTCTTCCACCTTGCTTTCATCCAAGTTTCACGTTAATTGACCAGTGGAAATGTGTGTCTCCCTGACAAATGAAAGCAAGGCGGAAGAAATCAAGGGCGTCACTACCGTGGTTGATGACGACTTAAACCGAATTTTTCAAAGCGTGTTATCTCGATCAATATTGAATCTAGATAGTTGCTGTTTGAACAGCTTTTTTAGCTGATCCACAAGAATCAAACGTCAAAACACGATTCTGTACTAGCGCAACTGACCCATTGTGACGAAAATTGGTAAATTCAAAAGTTGTGATTCCCCCGAGCAACCTATTTTACTTTCTCCAATATTTTACTATCTTGAGGCTGAGAAAATACCGATGTGGTTGCTTCTTTAATGGTTTCGTTATTCGGACTGAGGTTACCATAATTTTCCCACGGTCATTTTCATGTCCTGGAGGCTGCTTATTGAAATATACTCGTCGTTGATGCATTAGAAAAAGTCTGAGCTGAAACTGGTTTTTCTGCATGGGTGAGTTGATTATTTTTAACCGACTTGGATGAAACTATTCACCACCAATCACTTGTAAATGCTCAGATACAATCAGGATAAATCGAGTGATACACCCGACCAATCCCGTAACGCTATTTTACTCGTAGTTTAGTCTAACAGTGCGTTGGTGCGCATCTGACTTTAGGTTGATAAAGTCTCGGGTTCAAATCCCGGTAGTGACGACTAATATTTTCACGGAACTCACGCATGGATTTGCAGATACAGATTCTACTCGGCCTCAATCCTTAAAACTTTGAAAGCCCACAGCATAGATGTGTGTTAATTCTCTGGCCCGAAGCTCATTTAAGTATGCAAACACATTAAAAGATTCAAAACCTCAACAAAATCTTTTTAAAAAAGTGAAACAATTGATAATAATTCAACCGCTTTGCCAACGATAAAAACAAACTTTCAATGATCAGTTTGCTGCAATACTAGAATTTGATACGAAAGACCACCAGTGGATTGTATGCTTAAAATGCTAATGAAGGACCGTATTCAAGAGCTCTTCGCGTAGTAACAAAACACTTGATTAAATGACAACAGTTTTTGTACGTGTGAGATAAGGTTCCCGCCGAACTGGCTCCCCGCACGATTCGTGCTTTTGAAGATCTGCACTTACAGTAAGTGCCACTTACCTGCTATGCAACGGAGTTCAAACAAGTCCAACCGATAGTTTCGTGGAAATCCAAACACGGCTTGCGAACACAAATAAGTTTCGTTACAGCGGCGCAGGTTTGTTGTTGTTGGTTCTTTGACGGTGTTCGTCAAAGAGCACGTGTAAGGCTTCTTTTTGAAAAAATAAGTTTACTCTATTCAATAATATGTAAATAACAGAATAGGACCATAAAAATATCTAAAATCCTGATCTTTGTTTCCTCGAGACTTCGAAACTTATTATAGTCGAGGCGCCTGGTAAGTCTACCTGGAATTTTGGGTACATAGCGATTTGTTTGGCTTACTTAATGTTTTTTGGGTCGCTGAATCCGAATCTGAAGTTTCCTACCGCGTATCTGGTGAGCATTTTCCGCCATATTGAAAAAATGGCCTGAAAAGGCCTTTTTTTTGCGGTTTTTTTGATATAGCGGCTACGCATGAGAAAAAGTCTCGGATTTAGTTAATGTTTTAAATCGCTGACCAAATTTGAAAGAAAATGGTATATAAATATGCTAGGTTTGCTCAAAAATTGAGGAACCTCGGATCTCGGAACTTTGAAACGCTTTGGAACTTAGCTGACCGCGGCGAGCCGGATCGCACGTTGACGGGTGCGCCGCGAAAACGTGAAAAGGCGCGATTTTCACGATGCTGTATCTTTCTCAATTTTTCAGCAAACCTAGCATATGTATACACCATTTTCTTCCAAATTATGTCAGCTATTCAAATATTAACTAAATCCGGGACTTTTTTTCATGCGTAGCCACTACAAAAAAAAACCGCAAAAAAGGCCTTTTTAGGCCATTTTTTCAAAATGACGGAAAATGCTCACCAGATACGCGGGAGGATTTTCAGAATCGGATTCAGCAACCCAAAAAACATAAAATTAGCCAAAAAAATCGCTGTGTACCCGAAATTCCAGGTCGCCTCATTTTTAGCTACCAGGCGCCAGGACTATAACATGTTTGCAGTCGTGAATGCATAGCTTAAGTGCGCTCCAGCTAGAATTGTATAGAGCAAATGCGTGGTTTTTATATGAAGATTAAAATAAACAGGTGGGAAGGAATAAAACAAAATAATATGAACTGTGCAAAACGATAATCCGGATATCGGAACTTGGCTGTTTTGAAAACACCTTTAAATGCGGCGTGATACCTCACGCATTCCGGAGAGTTCAAATAGTTGTATCATTGCGCCTTAGGAATGTGACGGAAGATTACAATTAAAATATCCTTCATGCACGCTAGGCTCGTCGATTTCCTTTGATATTTTTGCAGTGGTGAATGCATAGCTTAAGTGCGCTTCAGCTAGAATTGTATAGAGCAAATGCGTGGTTTTTATACGAGGATTAAAAATAAGCAGGTGGTAAGGAATAAAACAAAATAATATGAACTATGCAAAACGAAAAATAATTAAGATTCCGCCGGGTAGCTAATTTCAAGCAGCACGGCCATGCTTATTTCAAGCTATACGTTTCTTGGCGGCAAATTTAAGATTTTTACCAGCTTGCTTCAAGCTGATTTTGATTTGTTTCAAGCTACTTTTTTTCCAGTGCATTCCTCAGATACGCTCAAAAAAGTCATTGAGTCCAATAAACACTTCGAGGACATGTTGGACACTGACGCAAACCTCCGTCTGATTAAGTTTTCAAATTAATTACTTTTCGTTAAATATGACACTTACGCAAGGGAGTTTGGTTGTTTACGGCTTGAAAATTGTTAAAAAAAATTATTCAAAAATTATTTGTGACCAGAGGTGGAAAAATCATGATTGATAGAACTGACCCCTGAGAGATGCATTCATACAGACTAAGATACCGTATAGTGAGTGACAAGCTTTGCTGTCTAACTTAAATAAATTAGCATCAGAGTTGACTTGTTGTGAGCAGCAGCTATAGCAAAAGGAAGAGTTTCCTCATTCTTACACCCCAAAAATTACCCGAAATGTACGAACAAGGTCTAGAATTTACTCTTTACATTATAAAGTTAAAGGTTTTCTGCGAAAAAGAGATAATTTGACACGAAAAAGTCATGTCAACTTCGTTTCATTAGAGCCTCAGAATTCTATGAGGATGTTTCTCTTGAAAAGCACATTATTTCAGTCCGAGCATTGTTAATACACAGCTTTGAAAACAACCAGATTGCCGTAAATTTAAAGGTCTTGTCAGAGAAATACGGTCAAAGTTGTGATGTGTAAAACCTTACGCAAGAATTTCGAA